TAGTAGTACCAGTAGTCTAATGAAGCAGTATCAGCAGTAGTAACAGTAGCAGAGGCAGTAGTAGGTGTAGTAGTAGGTGTAGTAGGTGTAGTAGTAGTAGCAGTAGCAGAGGCAGTAGTAGGTGTAGTAGTAGTAGTAGTAGTAGTAGTATCTATATTTATCCGTGTGTAGTGGTCCTGTGTGTTACTGGGTGGAGGTCCTCTGTGTTTTTGCCACAGTCTGTAATCAACACGTCAAACTCACTCCGAGCTTTAACCCTTTAGACACACATCACACTCTGGAGTTCAACGTTAGTAAAAATACTTTTACGTCAGTTAAATTGTAGTTTGTGGAAAAAAAAGTTCTGAGTTCTAAAACGGAATCCCACTGCCTACGTCTCCGACACGGAAAACTCCATCCAAAACGCAGAGACGGTTTACGCACAAGGAAGGACTTTTCTAGGACTAAAGGGGAGAGTGATGGGGAAGAGGGGCGGGGTCTGGAGGACTAAAGGGGGGAGGAGGGGCGGGGTCTGGGGGACTAAAGGGGAGAGTGAGGGGGAAGGAGAGGGGCGTCTGGAGGCTAAAATGTAGGCAAGATGGGAGGAGGAGGGGAGGGTCTGGAAGACTAAAGGGGAGAGTGAGTGGGAGGAGGAGGGGCGGGGTCTGGAGGATGAAAGGGGAAAGGAGGAGTGGGGTCTGGGGGACTAAAGGGGAGAGTGACGGGGGAAGAGGGGCAGGGCCTGGAGGACTAAAGGGGGGAGGAGAGGCGAGGTCTGGAGGATTAAAGGGAAGAGTGACCTTGAAAAGGGGAGAGGGGTGGGGTTTGGAGGACTAAAGGGGACAGGAAGGGTGGGGTCTGGAGGACTAAAGGGGAGAGTGAGGGGTGAGGAGGGGTGGGGACTGGAGGACTAAAGGGAAGAGCGAGGGGAGAGGAGGGACAGAGTTTTGAGGACTAAAGGGAAGAGCGAGGGCAGAGGAGGGACAGAGTTTTGAGGACTAAAGGGGAGAGTGAGGGGTGAGAAGGGGCAGGCCTTTGAGGACTGAAGGGAATGTCGAACGGTAAGGAGGGGCGGGGTCTAGAGGACTAAAGGGGAGAGTGAGGGGTGAGGAGGGGCATGGACTGGCGGACTAAAGGGAAAAGCGAGGGGAGAGGAGGGACATAGTTTTGAGGACTAAAGGGGAGAGTGAGGAGTGAGGAGGGGCAGGCGTTTGAGGACTGAAGGGAACGGCGAACGATAAGGAGGGGCGGGGTCTAGAGGACTAAAGGGGAGAGCAAGGAGTGAGGAGGGGCAGGGACTGGCGGACTAAAGGGAAGAGCGAGGGGAGAGGAGGGGAGGGGTCTAGAGTACTAAAGGGGAGAGTGAGGGGTGAGGAGGGCCATGGACTGGCGGACTAAAGGGAAGAGCGAGGGGAGAGGAGGGGCGGGGTCTAGAGGACTAAAGAGGAGAGCGAGAAGAGAGGAGGGGCGGGGTCCAGAGGTATAAGGAGCAGTGTGATTGGTCTACCAGGTGTCCACGCTTCAAATCCGCCCCTGCCTCCAGGTGTTTGTATCAGAAATTGGCTGTAACAGGGCAGTCCTGTGTGATGTCAGGTAGTACTTGAAATTACAGAAGCCACTGGAGGCAGCACAGACTTTAGATGTGGGCTTTTTTGATGAGAAAGCTGCAAATGTACCTAGTTTACCTACATTGCCAAAAAAAAGTCAGTTCTGTTCATACATCACATGCACAGTTGATCTGGTGTTTCGTTTCCCTTTAAATAAAATACTGTTAACTACCTTTTGGTGAAATGAGTAGTCTAAGCTGCCATATGCATTTTAAGTACAGAGTCAGGGTTTAATTATACTTTCACTCGACTACATTTGTAAACAGTGTACAGGAGTGGAACAGACCATTCTCACAGCTCAGAGGGGGAGGTGTAGTAACATGTGTATGTGCACGTGATTGTCGTTTCTAATAATCAGCTTGGGTCTTTTTCATGGAGACGTCTGCAGCCAATCCTGTCAGTAAAGGCATGATTTTGTTCGTATTTTTTCACAATTTATTTAATGGCCATGTAATAGGTCTTAGTAATCTACTGTATTCATGACGCCGTTGCTCTGATCTACCCTCGTTTTCACCACCACCGGTACACGTCCACTGTAACGTAAAACATAATGTAACTTAAAATATAAAAATCAGATCTTACAAAAATACCTAGAAGACAAGATATATTGGTTTCACAAGTGAACCATGACTACTGGCTAGATCAGGTGTGTCAAACTCATTTTGGTCCGGGGGCCGTATCCAACCTATTTTGATCCCAAAGGGGCCGGATCAGAAAACTCACGGCATATAAACCCCAAAAATAACAATAAGTTCAAATATTTGTGCAGAGAAACACAAATCTATTACAGAAATCTATTTAATTGATGAAAAATGCAATTTCAACACAATGTTTGAACATTAAAACTTGTAAGTAAAAAGGAATAAGTCAGTTTTTCTTGGAAAATCCTGCACTTGGACGTCCACTTTTCTCATTTTTAACATTTTGCAGTCAAAACGATCGTCCTTTAAGAGCGTTTGGAAAGAGACAAGTCTTCATTTGTGCTGCTCTGGTGGGAGGAGCCATGCACAGAGGCGCTGGAGACGCTGCTATGCTCAGCACCACAGAAAATTGCCAATATTTTAATAGAAAATATTATTAAAATATTTTAGTAGAAAATCAGCCAAAGGCCAGATTAAAGGTCTTGGAGGGTTAGATCCAGTCCCCGGGCCATATGTTTGACACCCCTAGGCTAAATGCTTTTTTTCTTTAACATTTTCTTTAACATTTTCTTTAACATTGCCTTTTGTTTTGATGTGATCATGGGCGATGAATTTTGTTCCTTCTTTGTCATTGTTGTCGGTTTGTGAGACCGTAGACAAGGGGAAAAAAAGGTCCTTGAATTTTTTCATTCTCATTGTGGTTAGTTTTGTGCGATCGTGGACGATGGGCTTCTGTATGGAACAACCTGAGTGCTGATAAAAAAAAAAAAAAAGTCTAACACTGTAGAAACCTTAAAAAAAAAAAGAGTATAAAGTGTTGAATGAATAAATGATGCATGAAATTTTGTTTGTTTTATTTATAGTTTGTCTCTTATATGTACAGTAAGTTGTAAGTGAAACTGTAAATTCAAACTTGCTGTTCATTTGCTGCTTTTCTCTCTTGGAATTCTGTGGTTGTTTAACAGGGTTTGGCTTTATAAGTACTTTTTAGTTGAGCTTAAACTCTTTCGGTCATGATCCATGGGGTGGTGGTTTATGTTTTGTTTAGTTTTATTGTGCTGTAAAATGACAGAATAGACTACTAAAAAAAACAACAAAAAACACTTCGATGTCCAGTTTTATTTTCTTAATCGGTCATACACGTAGGATTCGGCAGCTTCACGTCGTCATTTTGATGCAAATGAAAAAATAATAATAATCAGATGCTCTCTAGTGTGATGTGCAGATATCCATGGGATGCGCCAACAGCACACGTCGCTTTGTTGTGACGACGTTTACGATGGCGTCAGCTCCAATCGGACACCACCACGTTCTAGACACATACACATACGCTTAGAGACTCCTGTCCGTCCTCCGTGTTGTTCTGTCCGTCCTTTGCTCCGTCTTTTCAGATCGGAGCTGTACGTGAGCTGACCACCGGGGGCAGTAGTAGTCGTAGTAACACAAAAACGTGACTAGTACCAGCTGGAAAACAAATAAATGCTTCTCTCGCTTATTTTTTCTTGACTCTTTTCCAACTGATGCGATCTAAAACCTACTGTTGGCAATCCGTGTGTCATTCGTTCATTCGTTTTTCAATATAAAACCAAAAAAAAAAAAAAGAAAAACAACAGTTTTCTTCATTATTTGTCTCCAAAACCAAAATGAAAAAACGGGTAATGATTTGTTTTTTCAGTTCTCGATTTTGTGTTTAAATGAAGAATGGAAAAAACGGATAACGGCCGTTTCCTGTTTACGTGACTTCCGTGACTGCGATGCCGGACTTTTACACCACGTACAGACTGAACCAGGACTGATCCAGGTCCAGGAGCAGAGCGGGACCAGGGCGGGACCAGGGCGGGACCAGGGCGGACTCCGAGCTTTGACTCCGAGCCTCCGCGGGGTCCGAGCCTCAGCTTCAAGCTCCGGCCCTGCTGTGGGCTCTGAGCCTCCGATCTGGTCCCGATCTGGTCTTGGTCTGGTCCCGTACCTGATCAATTTGAACCAAAAGCTCTTAGTTCGGTTCGTTTTCGTTGGTGTGAAAGCGTCAGTCGGATGCTTTGCATCACCTCGGAACCAGCTGCGGTTCTTGAGCGCGGACGACCGGAGCACCCGTCTGGACCTGTAGTCCACAGAACATTCTCACTTTCCCCGCACAGAACCAGCGCGCAGACGATGACATGGAACCGCACGGACCACTGGTCTTGGTCTCAGTCCTGGTCTGGTCCCAGTCTGTTCCCGGACCTGGATCAGTCCTGGTTCAGTCCGTATGCGGTGCAAAACTTCGGTATCGCAGTCACGGAAGTCACGTAAACGGGAAACGGCTGTTATCCGTTTTCTCCATTTTTCATTTAAACACAAAATCGAAAACTGAAAAAGTGAATCATTATCTGTTTTTTCATTTTGGTTTTGGAGACAAATAATGAAGAAAACTGTTGTATTTTCGTTTTCTTATTTTTGGTTTTATATTGAAAAACGAATGATTGAATGACACATGGATTGTTGGCGCCTCCATGTTTGTTTATCATTGATTTGTTTGTCGATTCCCAGACTGACTTTCAGCTCCCTCTGGTGGTTGTTTAACAGAACACAGCCTTGACATTGGAAACATTTAGAAGAATAAATGCGGCGATGGTTCCTACGCTTGGAACGCACAGATCTGTTTACAGAATAAAGCGGAGTATAAGCTGTTTTAGATGAATACTGTGATTTAAAATGTCAAAGTTATAACATAATTAAACAAAGAGTTAAGTTTTAAATTTCTAATGACCTTTTTTTTTTTTTTTCTTTGCAGTGTGCCGTGTTTCCTGTCATACACAATGCGAAGTCAAGGTAAGAACCATCATCTCTTTATCAGAGTCATCTGAAGGTGATCCAGGAGAGCTCCTCTGTGTTTTTAAAGTCCACTCATATAACTTTGAGGTCTACAGCTATTTTAGCCTGATTTCTCCTGCTGTTTTTTTTACACGTTTTCTCTGATAAATGAACTTGTCTGTCATACAGTTTAGATTGTATAATGACACTTGGTTTCTTTGGTCCGGGTTTGAGCCCAGTTTGGTTCTGTAGACTTGGTTTGCTCCTGGTTTAGTCCCGATGTAGACTTAGTTTGGTCCTGTTCTAGTCCTGGTTTAGTCCTGATGTAGACTTGGTTTGGTCCTGTTCTAGTCCTGGTTTAGTCCAGGTTTAGTCCTGATGTAGACTTGGTTTAGTCCTGTTCTCATCCTGGTTTAGTCCAGGTTTAGTCCTGATGTAGACTTGGTTTGGTCCTGTTTCAGTCCTGGTTTAGTCCTGGTGTAGACTTGGTTTGGTCCTGGTTTAGTCCTGATGTAGACTTGGTTTGGTCCTGTTTTAGTCCTGATGTAGACTTGGTTAGGTCCTGTTTTAGTCCTGGTTTAGTCCTGGTGTAGACTTGGTTTGGTCCTGTTTTAGTCCTGATGTAGACTTGATTTGGTCCTGGTTTAGTCCCTGGTTTAGTCCTGGTGTAGACTTGGTTTGGTCCCATTCTAGTCCTGGTTTAGTCCTGACATAGACTTGGTTTAGTCTTGTTCTAGTCCTGGTTTAGTCCCGGTTTAGTTGTGATTTAGTCCTGACGTAGACTTGGTTTGGTCCTGGTTTAGACCTTATATAGACTCTTTTGTTCCTGTTTTAGTCCTGCTTCAGTCATGATGTAGACTTTGTTTGCTGCTGGTTTAGTTCTGTTTTAGTCCTGCTTCAGTCATGATGTAGACTTGGTTTAGTCCTGTTCTCATCCTGGTTTAGTCCAGGTTTAGTCCTGGTTTCGTTCCAGATTTAGTCCCACTTGGTTTCAATTTGAACACATCAGACTATTTCTTGCCTTAGTTTTAATCCAGTTTGAGTTCAAATGTAAACTTGGTTTGGTCCTAGTCTCGTCCTGGTTTAGTCCAAATCTAGACCCGGTTTGGTGCGGTCCTGTCTTAGTCCTGTTTTAGTCCTGGTCTAGTCCAGATTTAGTTCTGAGATTAGTTTCACTTTTGTCTGACAGCGCCGTACAACATAAAAGTAAAAGTTCTGAACATTGCACAACACAGGATCTTGAAAGTTCTGAAAACACCCCAGACCGAAAAACCTGGTCTTTTTAGTCTATTTATTGCCCAAAAAGTTACCTATTATGTCTTTAAAGGTACACGTGTCTCTTGTGTAATATCCTCGCGTAAAAAAATCACATCTGTCCACACACACACGGAGTATTCGCTGCTGCTCGTACAGTAGTGGTGACAAATGCGGGTTTATCTGGCCGATCGCGGTGCGGCCCCTCGGAGCAGATGGGGCAGGGCTCCTTTGGGTGGAGTTTACACCAGGAAAATGTGAAGAATGTACTAAACAGGTCCCCGGAGCTACAACTGTTTACACTGGAGCGAGACGCCGTTTAAGACAGATACGGGCCTAAAAATAAAAGCTCGGTTTCCGCGTATTTCACCAAAATGCGTCTGAAAACCCAGCGCAGATATATTATATAAGAAGCTCTTGAGGGTCAAAAATAAGTCCTCTGTGTTCCCGTCTGCGTCTAAGGTCCATGTACCGATTTTGAATTTGCTTTTGAATTTCAATTAAGAACGAAAAACAACAAAATGGCCAAACAGTTTGAAATCATAATGGTATTTTTTTTGGTTGGATATTGAAATTTGAAATAAACTTTAGACCTACTTAGATTTAGACAAACTTTTTTGATCGACAAGGGAAATGATTTGGACACAGGAGCTCACACATCACAGTATAATAAAAATGAGTAAAAAGTATAAATGGTAAAAATAAATTCTAAATAATAATAAATTCTAAATAAGTAGCAAGAGACGGGACAAAATAAACTTTAAATTCAGTATTGGAAATAGAGGTTTAAATCTGTTTTTTTGTTTGTTTGTTTGTTTGTTATTTCATTATTCCATTATAGTGTCAAACAAACTGTTTTCTCATTTTATTGTTTTCTCTTCTTAACTGAAATTCAAAAGAACAAATGGGCCCGGTCAAGCAGAAGTAAACAGCAAGGCCAAATATTCAAGTTAATGCATCTGATATAAAAATGGATTGAACAGATACATATGTACTCTAGTTTATGAAACTGTTGACCTTTTTTCTGTACCATTTTTGGTTCTAAAGTTCCATATGTTTTAAACAGACCATGTATGAAACATGGAACAAAAATTATTTCCCAAATTTCAAAGACCTGCAAATCATGTCAATAAATGGATGTATTTCATCATATCTTGTGTTATTCCATCTTTGAACTGTTGATGAAGGTACAGGATTTTTCAAAAAAAAAAAAAAAGTATTTAAAATGATAAAAATTTGACATATTTTATAGAAATAGTTTCCTTTCATTTTGAAGTAATATTAAAGTATTTGGAAGAAAAAAGCGACAAATGATGTAAAATCCTGCACCTTCTACTTGTTTGTACAATTTTCCCTCCGTTACTTTTCCCTCCTGTTACCATGACCTTTCTTAATAAAAAACTTGTTACTCAAAAAGTAAGAGGTTTTTCAACCTAATCTTGTACCATATGGTAGAAAACTATATGAAGCAAATATTCAAACCAGTTTGTTAAGGATATGGAAGTGAGAACCAAGAGTTATCACTGTTTGGATTTATTGCCCAAAAAGTGCTGCATATTTCATTCCCTCCGTTACCAACATGAGTTTTTTAATTTTTTGTCTTGAACTTGAAAGAATATCACAGGTTTAACTTGACCCTGTTGGAGTGTAACTCTTTCCTACATTCTGATACTTTACTTATTTCAATAGTCCCTCTAAAAAATCTGCCTGTTTCCCTCCGTTACTACTTGCCATATGGTACACGATCCAAAAAAAAGAAAGTCTCGTCGCCTATTTTAATTTGGATATTTTATTCTCTCTGGTTTATTTTCCCCGGAAGTTTTGCTACTACAAGAGAATAACATATCAAAATTAAAATAGGCACCCAGACTGTTTTGTGTTGTTTTAGTTTTTTTGTGTGTGTTATTTGAAACAAACTTTAAATTAAATATTGGAAATAGAGGTTGAAATCAGTTTTTTTGTTTGACACAAAAATGGAATAATGAAATAACAAAAGGCGTTCTTAAAATTCAATTAAGAACGAAAAACAATACAATAGGAAAACAGTTTGTTATTTCATTATTCTGTTTTAGAGTTAAAAAAAATTTAAAATAAAATTCTGACCTATTTCCAATATTTAATTTAAAGTTTATTTCAAATAACACAAATCAAAAAACAGTAACTGTGCCTATTTCAATTTGGATATTTTATTCTTTCTGTTTTATTTGTTCCGGAAGTTCTGCTCCTTGAAGAGAATAAAATCAAAATTGAAATAGGCATCCAGACTGTTTTGTTTAGCGTTTGTGTGTGTGCTATTTAAAATAAACTTTAAATTAAATATTGGAAATAGAGGTCGAAATCTGCTTTTTTGTTTCACACTAAAACAGAATAATAAAATAACAAACTCGTTCTTAATTGAAATTCAAAAGAACAAATGGTACACGGACCCACAATGACTTTTTTTTTTGTTTGTTTGTTTGTTTTTTTGAGTGGTGTTATTTGAAATATTTTATTTATATAAAATATTGGAAATAGAGGTTGAAATCTTTTTTTGTTTTGTTTTTTTGACACTAAAATGGAATAATGACAAACTGTTTTCCATTTTATTGTTTTTTAATATTTCAAAAGAACAAATGGTACACGGACCCACAATGACTGTTTTTTTTTTTTTTTTTTTGCAGAGGTGCTATTTCAAATACTTTAAATTAAATATTGGAAATAGAGGTTGAAATCATTTTTTTTTTTTCTTTTTTTTTGACACTAAAACAGAATAATGAAGTAAACTGTTTTCCCATTTGACTGTTTTTCAATTGTTCAAAAAAAATGAATGTTACACAGACAATCTAATTACAAATTGCTTTATTGTCCAGTAATCAGGAAGTGCGCAGTTAGCATGCTAGTAGCTCTTCACATTCGAGCACTGTCAAACTGCACACATGCACTCTCGCCACGTTGTTGTTGTTGCTACGATGTTCTGGTACGGCGTTAAACTGCTCTACTCACCGACTGCATTTGTATTGGAAGACTTGTATCTTGTCTGGCAATCAGGAAGTGCGCAGTTAGTGTGCTAGTAGTCGTTAGCATTACTGTGGCTGGTCTCTGAGGAAGTGCGCAGTTAGAATGTTAGTAGCTGTCAGCATTATTCTTCAAATCCTCAATGGAGAGGTTATTGCTTTGTCTGGAATGTTTCACAGTATGGCATTAAACCTTTCGATCTCCATGGAGACCAAAGTTACAAGTCAAGCCAAGTTACAGGTCAGATCTGTGGAGAATGTCTGTTTTTCAAAGTATTTCTGAGCTATAAAACCACTTGTAATTGATTAAATATAAAGTAGAGCTTTTTAATGTCACACTGTGGAACATTCCAGACAGAAAAGTTACACAATGCACCTTTAATGTAATCTTTGGTCAAATTAAATAAAACGTGACAGACATAGAGAAAGAGTGTCAGATCTGTGGAGAGGCGACCCCGCTCACAGTCATGCATGTTTTTTTCCTAAGTACACGTGTAATTGAGCGGTAAGTGTTAATGCCGTACTGTGGAACATTCCAGGTGAAGCAGTGGCGTCTCCATAGCGACAGGTGTTTGCTGTGCTCTGTCCACATTTGTGTTTCTCATGGATTCTAGCGTCTGTGCTCATCCCCAACACCTCACTGTCAAATGTTCAAGACAACACGCAGATATTTTCACATCCCAGCGCCGGCAAACACACGGGCACGCTCACCACGTGCACGCTCATCACATGCACGCCCACCACGTGCACGCTCATCACATGCACGCTCAC